TCGAACTCTGCTTCGCCTACATTCAGCCTTCATTTTATCGAAACTCGATTATGGTGACCAGATTTATTCCGCGGCCTCTCTTGCTACTCTCTCTAGCCTTAACTCTATCCATCACCAAGGATTACGTTTGTGCCTTGGTGCTTTTCGCTCTTCCCCTGTTGAAAGCCTCTATGCAGAAGCGAATGTTCCATCCTTGTCTGATCGCCGTGATGCCCATTGCCTTCGCTACTATGTACGCTCTCACGATCTCCACAATCCTTCCATTTATAGAATGGTCACCGATATTAGTAGACATTCTTTATTCATTCGCCACCCCTGTTTGCTCCGTCCCTTTTCTCTTCGCCTACATTCACTCTTGTCTTCCCTTCAGTTACCACCTTTATATGTTCATGTAGCATCTCACTTTTCCCTACCCCCCTGGGAAGTTCCAGCTGTTCGGGTCTGTTCTTTCTCACATCCTTGCTCGAAAGCTCAACTGCCTATGGTGGCTTCCCGCTCTCTTTTTCTTGATCACTTCCACTCCCATTCTCATGCCACTGCTGTGTACACAGATGGCTCTAAGAATTCAGACGGCGTCGGATTCGCAGCAGTGTTTCCGGACAGCGTCGTGCGGGGGCATTTACTATCTTCGGCTAGCATTTTTACTGCTGAATTGTATGCCATTCTTGCAGCACTTATTCGTATCGCATCTATGCCTGTGTCATCATTTGTGGTAGTCTAAGACTCCCTTAGTGCTCTACAGGCTATACGAAAATTTGATACATCTCACCCCCTAGTTCTCCGTATCCAACTTTGGCTACGCCGTATCTCTACCAAACATAAAGATATTGTTTTTTGTTGGGTCCCTGGTCATGTCGACAAACGGGGGAAATTTAACAGCAGACCCTCTGCGGGGTCAGCAGTAAAAACCCTACAAATTTCCTATAGAGGTTTTTCCATTTCGGGGCCCATTTTGCTGCAAAGTTTACCCCCCTTTCCGCCCCCCGTTGGCAAACAACGTTGGTAAACTTTTCCCCGGTAACAAACTTCATTCAAAAAACCCAAAAAAAGGTTAGGGGCCGCCCTTTCTTTGTCATCAGGCCGGGGTTTGGGGAAGACCCCTCCTCCCCCCCTTTTCGCTTTGGGCCCCAACTCGTTTTAACTCAGGGGTTTTCCCCAAATGGAGAGGCCCCCTGTTCCTTTTTGTGGCAGTGTCAAGTTCCATATCGATTAGCCACATTCTGTTAGTGCCCTCTATCAACGACACGCAGAATTTACCCCCAAACTCGTTCGTTCTCCCAATTTCTTTTTTCCTTCCCTTCTTGCTAAATGGCCCCCCTTTTAATCCTGACTCTCTCAGGATTTCTTGACAACGACGGGATTTACCCCACAAACCGGTGATATTTTTCGAAATTCCCCTAAAGCCCTTTTTTGTTCAGTCTCTTGCCCCCTTTCCCCTTTAAACCCTTCCACTCCCCCGCTTTAACCCAAAAACCTTTTACTCTCCATTCCCTTTTCCCAAATGATGCCCCTCGCTTCCTTCCGCCCTGCGGGCGCTGATAGTCCTTGTGGTTTTGGGGTTCCTTTTTTTTTTGATTATAATAAAAAATGGGGTTTTATACCCCTTTGTGGCTTAGCGCTTTTTTTTGGGAATTATAAAAAATAATAATAAGGGTTGGGGATTATACGGGTCAAAATGGTGGGGATAGAAGGTATTCAGGTAAAATTCGGGGAAACTGGAGTACTGTTTCCAAATTTCCTAGAAAAAAGAGTCCCTCACCAGCGAAAGGAAAACCTCCCTTGAGGGGCAGGGGAAGAAAAAAGTTTATTGTTTTTAAATTAGGGGGGGAGGCAAAACCCTGGAGGTTTTATAAACGAGGGGGGGGGGTTATTAAAGGGTTTATTCGGTTTAAATTTTCAGGGAACCAGGCACATTATAATTTTGGGGGGAGCCAAAAACCTGTGGGATGACCCCCCCCAGGGGGGGAGGGGAGGGAAAGTATTCACCCCTCAATTCGGGGAATTAAACCCACACCCAAATTCCCCTAATCAAGACCCCTCACCACCCCCTAAAGGGAAAAACCTTCCCTGAGGGGTTTGTATGTTTTTATGAAAAAAATTTGGGACTGTGGCAATCAGTTTTTTGCAACTTTAAAGTATTGTAAAAAGGGGTTGATGTGTCTCTCAAGAAAAATTCTTAAGTAATGGTTTGGGGGAAAAATTTTTAATCTTATTGTAGGAAAATTTGTACATTTTTTTTCCCTTTGTGGCTTTTACTTACAAAACCTTCTGGAATTTAAAAAATTTAAAACCCTTAATTACCAATTTTAAAAGTAGTGTATTTTAAAAATTATGAAATATGTTTAAGCCGATTACAAATTAAATTAGGCACATGTTTAAATGTCAATTCAAGAATGATAACCTCAAAAATTTACGGATTGCCCCTTCTTATTAATAAAAAAATATAAAGGGTTTGAACAAAAACAAATTTTTAAACCAATCTCTTTAATTTAAAATTTTCTTTTAATTTTGAATTTCAGCAAATCCGGGAAGTTTAAATTTATTTTGCCCTTAAAAAACTCAAATTTAAACTAATGGTCATTACCGCTTCTGTTACTTGAACAAGTTTTGTATTAATTTCTAAAAAATGAACTGAAAATTCTTTAAAAAAGGGATTTTAAATCCAAAGTTACTTTGGTTTTAAAAGGGAGTTATGATAAATATTAAAAATTTTTTTACTATTTTTTTAAAAAAAACAAAAAATCTCAGTCCTTTTAACTAAAAAATATTAATTTTAAGTAAATTGTAAAATGTTCCATTTCAATTTAGTTTAAATAAAACTCTATGCTTAAAAAATAAATGTCAGTTTTTTATATGCCTAATGGCACAAATTTTCACATAAATTGCAGGTTTCACTCTGAAATTTAAAGTGCTTTATTTCCCGGGAAATTTTTTATTTAAAATTTAAAATAAATGTAAAAAATATGTAAAAACTCTGGTTTACTTTGAATTTTTCCTTATTTTGCCGTAACACTTTTCAATGAAAATCTAAAAATTTTTATTATTGATTCTTTAACTAACTAATTTTTAAAAAAATACAAAAATTTTAAAATTTAATTTTCCATTCAAAGGTTTGCAATGCTTAATTTTGCGAAACACTATAATTTTTCTTTATATTTTTGACCCTAGTACTGAAAACAGTTTAAAAACCCCCTTTCACTTTGGGTTTTTCATTACTTTAAAAAATGGAGGGTTTTAAAAGGGGAAAATTTTTTTTGGGTGGAGTGAACTTATGAAAAACTGGCCTTTCGTGCCACAATACCTCTAAAAAAAAAAAAAAGTTTCTATTCAATTCTCAGCTTGTCAATATTTAATAAAAAATTTTGGCAGTTTACATTATAGGTGGCATTTCTTGTCGATCAAGAAATGTGTGGAGAAGGGCTCATGTTTTCTTTCCGGTCTCTGAAGTACGAGATTTAGACAAATACATATGTATGTTTGACTACTTTGTGGGTTATATATGTGTGTGTGCCATAAAGATCATTCTAAATGTACCCAAAACCTAAAGAAAAACTTAAGTAAAGCTCAAGGGAAGTTTGTGTTGATGCAGTTACTGTGTATTCCCTTTCAGAGAAAAAGGGGGATAGTTAATACTTTTCCCCGGACTACTTTAACTCCACCCTGCATTTTTTTTAAAAACACTCGCTTTCATGCTTATTCCCCTAAGCACCTCCCGTATTTTAGATTCCATTTTTGGCTGGTTAATATCCAGGAAAGAAATTGGGTTTTGTGGGGGGGAGTCAACTCACCCCCCCTTTTTCACTCACCACAATTGATGCATGTCCCGCACTTCTCTTCACTTGTTTTTTACTCATTAAATCTGTGTTCTCGACCAATCTATCCAAATAAATGCAAGCTTTGTATACACAGAATGTCTCACAAGTATAATCATTTGGTTAAAAAAAATTGAGGAAAAATGAATAATTATTCAACCTTAACAAAAATAAAAAATGTAAACCCGGTCTTGTTCACTCTCTACCTGACAAATGTAAACTTGCTATACATGCATAAATGAATATACACACAGTATGAATGATGTGGGTAAAAAAACTAACCAAGAAAAATTATTTGTATACTTCAACCAATAGAAATTAAACTGAAAACAATGAAAAAGGTAGAGCCAAAATGATAGGTGGTGGAAACCCTTTTGAAGTGATAAGGAGAAAAATAGATACAAAAATGAACCCACTGATAGTTGAAAATGAAGTGAAGGTGCAAAAAGTGATGGTACTGTAAACATCAGGCATATGTGTATCAAATATACTAATGCACTTTAAGCTTAAGACATAGAAGTTAAGTTCTGGATGTTATTAGATTTTGTCATTTAATTTCTTACTAAGCTTCTGCGTCCCTTTTAACAAATCTTTGCAGTGATAAACCATTATATCTGATAATTACATTTTAAATTTAAATTAACTGATCATACATTCAATAACAGTAAAATTTAATTGCTTCTGAATTTAGAAAATTTGGGCTACAAAATGGTTTAAGCCCCAGATTATACAAAAAGGTTCCTGCACTCTATGATGCTCCTCTTTCATTTTTACAATCTCAGGTCTACAATTTCTTACAGTATATATGTATTTACCAGTCACATTCCTGATTTATCTTGTCATTATCCTAAAATTTTTGCTAAAAAAATTTATTAAATTGATTTTAATATTACAAGTGTAATTTCTCAGAAAAATTATTATTTACTTTAAAAGACTGCTAAGAGAACACTGTCAACAGCTTGCTACTATTTTTTTTATTTGCATATTAGTTACAGAAAAAAATTACCCACTCACAAAGGGAAGGGTACTGAATCTGTAATTTACATGCTTTACCAACATTCTTCAAACACAACACAAGTACTGTATCTATGACTTTTAACATTACTTTTAATTATGTATTTAATCAATTTGTTTTCATTAAACATGTATAGCACAGGCAAGGGACACTTCATCTGCTACCAAAAACTGTTGTCGTTACAAATGACTGATGAATAAAGTATCTATTACATCAAACAAAATGAGCAAGATGATATCACAATTACAGATACTCCTTGGTAGCTTCAATTTAGCACCATCAGCATCATCACACAAGAGGGTACTACAAATTCTCTCACAGCCGCATGTTTGTTCCACAATGTCTTAAGCGACTAGTGTTCCATTATCAGGGGTGCGAATTATTGGGGCGTTACCTTCTGGAGCATGCTGAGATTGTTGTCCACAATCCATGTCTGGTTCTGAATATAGGATTGTTGTAGCTGATGATGCTGGTGCTACAATATGTCTTGGAGAAGGTTCTCCCCCTTCACTCACACACCTCCCGGTGAAGGCAGAGAGAACCCTTTCGTGGGACAAAATTTGCATGGTCCCGCACGCACACTGATGATGACAAAGATCCGGATCTAGCAGCACGACCTGTTCCTGAGTTGACTCCTACTTCATTGTGAGCTGCTATGTGGTTATGGGGCACATTGATATTTGGGGGGGGGTTCGGCTAATCCAACTTTATGTCTAGTAGGGTTGTGGACGGCACGAGTGTGAGTTCCACCTCGACCAGCTAATCGCATTGCAGTTAAAGGCTCAAGTTCGTGTGTATCAGATGATGGATGAGTCTGGGGTGCTGGACGATGTACTTGATGTGGACCCAAAATAGATTACTCATAAATGCTTGCTGATACAACATTTTATCCAAATGGGGTTGAGAGCCTTGACTGCAACAAGAAACAGCATCGTAACTGTGGATAAGAGAGTTGTCCACACCCTGATTCAGGCCAAATATACGCAAAAGAGGGAAGATAAAAGAGAGTCGCATAGATGTAAGAAAACTGTAGTGACTACGGTAAGTAAAAGTCCATGTGAACATAAGCTAAAACTTTGGCTGGCAGCATAGTGATACCAGCTGCAAGTGTGGTAGCAGCAGCCATAAATTTCTGGGCTACCAGACGGGCGACTGCCCAAGACACAGCAGCCTCACGATCAGCCTCAGGGGACAACCGGTAGGCAACACCATAATGTAATGTTAAATCTACAGTAATCCTATAGCCACACTCACTGTTACAAATCTCTAAAACATTAAGATGCCACCTAACAAACTAATGCAGTAATGTCACTAAAATAACAGAGCCTACACTTAAGACTGCCAGCAGACTCACTACTACATTGAGGGTTGTCATCACCAGCACAGCTAGGCTGACTCCCACAGCAACAGCAACTGCTATTCCTGTTCCTATAGATAATGACCGTTGTACATCAAAGAAACTTAGGTATGAGGTAAACCAGCCTCCTTGCATCTGTTTTGGTGCTAGTTTCATTTGCTTTGTAACCCATGTATCCACCTGCAACAGAAAAAAAATAAGAAGGATTTTTTAGCTTTACAAAGGCAAAATACATTAATATAATTAATAACCATACCCATTTTCCTTCAAAGCAATACCATAAAACTTGCAAGTTTTTGCTTTTATATGCAGAAATAATATTAATGCAATTAACCCTTTCAGGGTCACAACCCCTGCTCTCAAACATACTCTCAGGGTCACAAAATTTAAAAAACAAAAAAAAAAATTCTTATGAATGATAATCTTTTAACCCGTAAACGGTCCAAGCAGATCTACGTTCACATGCATAGTGCTCAAAAAGTAGATCTACTTTTTTTTTTACATATTTTCAAATATAACAAAAAAAAAAAGCAGATCAAAGTTTTTTTACACGTTTTCAAATGTGAAAAATAAAAAAGAATATCTACTATTTTTACATACTTTCAAATGTTGAAAAAATGTATATATATGTTTGGACCGTTTACGGGTTAATGAAAGTAATAAAACAAAAACTACAAAACTGATGGAAAACTGACGAAATCACGTTTTTATGATTTTTGCAGTGTCAACGATATTTACGCGCGAGTGATTTCATCCGATTTTAGGCCAATTCCATTGTTCCAGTTGACCAAAGTCTTAGCTATTTCTTTAGTATGTCTTCCATTCTATTGACTGAGTATAAGAAACTGCCCATTCAACTATTCAAACTACCCAATAAAGTGATCAGAAATTGGTAAGTTGGCCAATTTCTGATCACACAAAATTCAAGAAATGCCAATTTCGAAATAGGGTACAGAATAAACAATGCAGACATTCCTGGCACTAAAATACATTTTCTCTGTTCATTAGTCATGTCTCTAGGCCCCTTTTGTATTACCCTTGCTTTCCATTTTTAATTTTTATTTACATAAAAAACAGACTGGTTTGTTTACAAAACTCATATATGCCTGGTTTGTTTACATAACTCCATGCCTGTCCTCTCTCATGAACTCATTTTCTCTTTCTCTCTTGTTTTATTTTAAGGTAAGTAATGAGTGAACTGTATACAGTATGCATTTTATTGCTCTGGGATGCTTTAAATGTCAGAATATTATGTGTGGGTGGGTTGGCCTGGTATGGTAGCCTGGCTGGCTACTATACATTCCACATTTTATTTCTTACAATAAATATTACTCATCTCACCCTACATTAAGACTACAAATATTTCAAGGTAAGTAATGAGTGTACTATATGTGTGTATTTTACTTTTTTATTGACAGCTTAATATATGTTAGTGTAAACTTGTTATCTAGTATTAATATGCATTTATCAGTGGAAAAAAAGGGTGTTCCACTTTACGGCAATTTCCGCTTTACAGCAGTAGCCTGGAATCTAACCTGCCATGTAAGTGGGGCCCTACTGTACTCTGAAATATTGGCAAAAAACTGAACATTTCTGCTACTCTGAGCTCAATTTCAAATTACTTTCAGTCCTGAAACCAATCAAAAATCATCTTTATTTCTCTACTATATCTTCCACTCTGTCAAATGAGACCGAGAAACTGAGAATACAACCACAAAACCATATGAATATACACCACAAAGTCGCTGTTTTAAACTAAAAACCCCGTCGCAGTTTTTTCTCATTATGCACTGCATGCTGCAGGAATTTTTGTGGTGCACACTTACCGCATAGGCCCATTTTCTTATATCTAGGCCGAAATTTACCACTCACAGCTTATCTAAGTGACCCGAGCTCATGGCATTGTACTTACTACGGGACCAACATTGGCTTCCAAGCCGCGACACAATGGGACCGACCCTGAAAGGGTTACATAATATGCATCTTAGGTAAAAGGACAAAGTGCAACTAATGTGACATTTCACTGTGGCAATGTTTCACTCTCCAGGAGCTATTACAGCTTGACAAAGCTCCTGGAGAGCACAATGTTGCCACAATAAAATGTCACATTAGTTGCACTTGTGTCCTTTTCCCTAACATATTGTTGGTAATTCTACCAACATTAATGCAATATGCATCTTGTTTGAGACAATACAGAAATCTGAGAATATTAACCCTCAAACTGTCCAAACACAGATCTACGTTCACCTGCGTGGCAATTTTCTGTGTGCTATAAGACCAAAAGAAAAAAAAAATTTAGGACCAGTACTTACCAAGATATAAGACCGGGAAGTTGGCTCTGGATGCTCACCTGACGGCAACATCCAGCCCTGCCGCTTGCAGAAGTGTTGCCGATTTACCTTTTTTCTCATTTTTATTTTAATTTATATAATTTTTATGTTTGATAATTACAATTTATAATAGTTCTTGTGATTTCATAGCCAATCTCTGTTCTGACAAAAATATTATGTACTGAAATAGTACTCAAATAGTAACAATCACACCGACAGGTGAACATTTTCACCTGCCCTGGTCATTTACTATTGTCTAGAAATATATACAAAGTATTTATAGGTCTTTGCAATGTTTTAGACATGCTGGAGTATATATGAAACTCCTTGAAGAATGGTGTTATGACAAGAAAGATAACTGGTGACATTTGATGAATGTGTACTGCTGTAGCGAACCCACGCCTTATTTGTTTTCTCACTTTATTTGTTTTTGCTATTGCACACAAACATGTCTGTCTATCTGTCTAGCTCTGCTTATCTATCTTTCTGTCTGCCTGTGTGTGCCTGGAGTATCTACATATACAGTGGACCCCCGGTTAACGATATTTTTTCATTCCAGAAGTATGTTCAAGTGCCAGTACAGACCGAATTTGTTCCCATAAGGAATATTGTGAAGTAGATTAGTCCATTTCAGACCCCCAAACATACACGTACAAACGCACTTACATAAATACACTTACATAATTGGTCGCATTGAGAGGTGATCGTTAAGCGGGGGTCCACTATATATGAAAATCCTTGAAGAATGGTGTTATGACAAGCATCAGATAACCGGTGACAGCCAGTGACATTTGATGAGTGTGCACTGCTGCAAGGAACCCTCGCTTTGTTTTTGCTGTTGCACACAAACATGTCTGTATGTCTCTGTTTATCTGTCTTTTTGTCTGCCTGTGTGTGCCTGGAGTATATATATGAAACTCCTTGAAGAATGGTGTTATGACAAGCATGAGATAACAGGTGACAGCCAGTGACATCTGATGAATGAAGCTGCTGCAGGGAACCCTCGCTTTATTTGTTTTCGCTGTTACACGCAAACATATCTGTCTGTCTATGTTTATCTGTCTGCCTGTGTGTGTCTGTCTTTCCATCTGTGTCTCTGTCTCAGAGAGCTAGTAAACCTGTCGATCTGTGGTGTATGGGCTGCACCCTGATTGCTGATAAAGTGACACTGCTATTACTTGCATCATGTTTATCTATGTCTTATACGTATCTACAAACACTGTATAGCACTTTGCCTGGAATTTTTGGGTTATCCTAAGTAATTTACACTATGTATAATAACTGTACTTATATGTACATGTGAGAGACAGATATACAGACAGATAGACAGAGGTATAAACAGATAGAGATATAGACAGATACAGACAGAGACAGAGACAGCCAAAGCCATCCAGCCTATACCAATCTTTTGTCGCCCAAGTCCAGACCAGCTCTGCAGTAGCAACTCATGCAGTCATGAAGTCAGCACATCCTACAAACTTGTCCCCTCTACTCTGCTACCAACACCATGTGGCTGGGTCTAGCCCCAGCTCTTTCCCTCAATCTCTAATCATTTCGTCTCCCTCACTACTCTTCCACTATCTAAATCTCCCTTTCACCCACATGGGTCTTACTTGGCAGTATTTATTTATTTAGTAATATGAGTATCCTACTATTGCTACTACTACAGAGTAGCAGCACCAAAGTTTTTATATGGGTGTAAGTATGGGCTTTGTTGCAGTGAGGAAGAGATTTCAGGTTTAAGAACAATATGTAGTGAGAATATTATGCATAGAATTTGGAATATAGAAATTAGAAGATGGAGATGGATTACCAAGGTATATATCAGAGGGCTGAGGAAGAGTTGCTAAGGTGGTTTGGCCATTTATAGATGGAGTACAATAGGATGACCAAAAGGGTGGAAAGAGGGCAGGAGCCATCCCAGGAAGGGCTAAGGGAAGGGAGTAAAGGAGGTTTTGAGTGCCAGAGGTTTGAGGATTCTGCAGGCTTGTACAAGCAGTTTAGACAGGAGTAAATGGGAACAAGTGGTTTTAATGGTTGTACAGTAGGGCCCTGCTTTACGGCATTTCACCTTATGGTGTTCCTCTAATACAGTGATTTCAAATTATGACCAAAATTTCTATACGGCAAGTGGTCTTTCAAATATGGCGTGCCCCACCTGCTTTGTTTACATTCTCTGTGAGTACGTATCTCTATCACATCTGGAAATTTTCCAAAATTTCAAGTGTTTTAAAGTTATTGCATATTTTATATGTACTCTGATAATTATACTTACGTGTACCTGTACCTAAATATACTTACACACTGTGCTGCCATGCAGGTACATATTAAAATCACTAGAAGTCTCTCTACTCTTGATGCCATATTAATAATACATGTAATCTCTTGGGCGCATTATTTTATTATTAACACACTGGCCGATTCCCAACAAGGCAGGGTGGCCAGAAAAAGAAAAACTTTCACCATCATTCACTCCATCACTGTCTTGCCAGAAGAGTGTTTTACACAACAGTTTTTAACCCTTTCAGGGTTTCGGCCGTACTAGTACGGCTTACGAGCCAGGATTTTTGACGTACTAGTACGCCTAAATTCTAGTGCCCTCAAATCTAGTGAGAGAAAGCTGGTAGGCCTACATATGAAAGAATGGGTCTATGTGGTCAGTGTGCGCGGTATAAAAAAATCCTGCAACACACAGTGCGTAATGAAAAAAAAAAACTTTGACCGTGTTTTTGTATTAAAACAGCGACTTTGCACTGTATTTTCGTATGGTATTTATTGTTGTATTCTAGTTTTCCTGGTCTCATTTTATAGAATGGAAGACATATTACAGAAATTGAGATGATTTTGACT